CAAAAAGGAATTATTCTTGGCCCATTGGAGAGAGAGAAAGGAACGAATACTCGGGTTGGGTTGTTGGTTGGTTGGTTGGTTGTTCCCTTTTGTATAATTCCCCATTTAATGCCTAAGCCAACACCTCAAAGGGACCCCACAACAACTCTGACGAAGATGAATACTCCTCCGCCACTCGATTTGCATAGTTGGGGTCTCGGTCCGGTGCGAGACAAAGGACCTCTCTTTCGGCCTGCCCTGCCCTGCCTGGCTGAGGCTAAGGCTGACCTAACGAACCATAAATTAAACACGCTTTTGATGTCTTGGTCTGGCCAGAATGTTTACTTACTAAAGTTCTCGCAACATTGTAGGTTTTATCGCCTCAAATTCGATTATAATGAAACCCACCCAAAAATAAAGACCATTCTACGTTTTTTGGGCACTTGTATGATCGAGCCGAACTAGCTGTGGAAATTAATTGTGCTACCCTGGGAGTCGGGGCTCTGTTCTGCTAAACAATTTGCATAAATTACAATAGGAAGAACCAAAGCAGCAGCATCCAGGCCACATATCGCACTGGCAATAAATTCAAGTCAGACTTTTCAGCCTGGCTTAAGTCATCAAAATGTGGCAGCCCAAAAAGAAAAATTGCCGGACAGCTGCACGGAAAAGTAGTTTTTTTTTTGTTTTTTGACAGAAAATAAGGAAATAAAAAATAAAACAAACGGTTAGAAAAATTGCAAAATAAGTACAAAGATTCTGGGTTAACATCTGTGGCCACAAAGCATTTTACTCAGGGAACTATTTAGTTTGGTTTTTTCTATATAATTATACTTTAGAAATGATAATTTTGATCATATTTTTCAACTCGCCAAAAACTAAAACCCAACTGTACACAAAGCTACGACAATTACTCATCCCGAACCGAACCGAACAGAGCTGGCGGAGGAGAGGAATACTTTCTGCCGCTCTGCCATATGAATTATGTGGCAAATGCCTCGTTATTAATTAGACTCATTTGACGCTCGAGAGATTGTTGCCATGAAGACACCTTAATTAAATGTCTGTCTGCGGTGGATGAGTCCCAGATTTAGCCGCAGAGTCAAAAACTCTTCTCAAAGGGTGGTTCTGTTCTGTTTTTTGGCAACAATATTTTGCATATGGTTGTTTTTTTGCTCTGATGATTGTGCTGCCTGCTCCTGTCGCTGTCCCTGGAGATTTGTCATTTTAATTTGCATAAATCAATTTGTTAATTAGTGCGGCACTTTTGGTTGCCTCTGCCACACACAGACAATGGGAGGCGATTAGCCATCAGTTTTGGGTATTTCCACACAATAGGTAGTAGATGTACAGCAAGATGCTCGTGGTTTGAGTTAATTAGTTTTGGCTAAACAGATCTATAAGGAGTGGAATATAGAACATTTTAAATACTAGTTAAGAGATGTGAAATATATATCTTTGCAGGGAAAAAAGTTTGTAAAAACAATCAAGGCTTTGGCTTTGGCCTTCAATTAATTTTCTAGTTCACTCACACAAAAACTAATTTTTCTGCTTTATTTTCATTTTATTCGTTCTATTTTCTGGAAACCAAATCAAGCACAAATAAGAGCCCTGATTTCATTACACCGATGAAGAGAAGAAAACCTAAACTTCTGCATGTCAATGTCCCACACCTCACATAAAGACAAAGCAAATAAACAAATAAAGCTGCCAGTTGCCAGGGCAATCAGCAATCGGAATCTTTAATCCCATTTAGTTTTCGCATCGAACTACCGGGCGGGCATTACTTCAATTTATTCTGATGGCCAATAGCTGAAAATATAAATATTTTATGGACAATCCAATCCAATCCGGACAGGAAAAGCTTTAAAGTGCATTGGCAGCTAGCTTTAAGCTGCTGCCACTTGAGTCCCACTTTTATGAATGCCCCCAGAACACAACACACATACATAAAGGAAGAGACACCGCAGGCGGAGAGGAGCGAGGAGACCGTGCAACAAACCGAAGATGTGGCGGCAGCCATTTAATGTCACTTGGGCGCAACCATCAAGCATATTACGAGGACGAAGGAAGGCCCTTCTATGGGGTTTGCTCCTCTCTCTGGGTTCGTCTTTTCCATTATTTTAGCTGCACATCTGTGCGTTGGATTTCACATATTCCGACTATGGGCTACCCTCTTAAATACCCTCGAAATGCAGAGGACACTGCAGACCACGAATCACGCATACACGATTTAATATACATATATTTGTTCACTTTCCTCCACCTGTTACATCAATCTTCTGGAGTCAAATATACCCTTCGTACCCTACGAGTACCCTTATTTGATAACAACAACAACAGTTTACACAACAAAACAAACCGAAACGAAACCATAACAGAGACAGCGGAGGGATGGGAGAGAGTATTGCCAGCCACATGTAGAGTGCTCTGTTCTGGCTTTGACTTTGACTTGAGGTGCATCCCGCCCGCCATCATCCAAAGTAAAATGCATTCAGCAACAATTGTTGCTAGCTGTAAATAAACACGACTTGCTCCGCCCCCCACATGTGAACTCCACACCCACACATGATATGTACACACACTTCTGCTCGTGTATGTATGTATATCAGCGGGGGCAACGGCAGCAACAGCAAACAGTGAAATGATAATAAGGTATATAATTTAATATCAATCTGACAGCCAGAAGGCAACAAAGTGCGCCAAAGCCAGCGACCGACGACGACGACTTTTCAGCGTTTTCGACGCTGCTTTTTATGCTACAATTTTTGTGTTGTGCGGTAAATATACACTGATAAAAATATAGATCGATTAACTATAGCCATAGAGGTGTGACAGTGGAAAAAATTATAGAATTTTCTCTAATGGAAATGTTGTAGATAAATTCTTTACCCATTTTTAGCCCCTATTGAAAGATGAATGGTGCCTGGCCCCAGGCCAGGTAAGAGCATCACTTAGTCGCTCTCAATTTAAGCTTAACTTGGCCTCTGCTCGCCTGAAATTTTTTTCGCCGTCTTGTTGTGTTTGTGCGCTGCTGCACATGCCATGCCATGCCCTCTGCTGCGCACTTCACTTTTATACACGAGTATGCATTGTCTGTCCGTCTGTGTGTCGCTGCTGTCGTCGCGGTACCCCTGTCTAGAGGTACTCAAATGCTCTGCTCCTTCTCCTACTCTCCATCCTTTGGCACCCATATTATTTCTGCTCATCTCACCTTTTTGCATTTTTTCTGCTCCTTGCTACATGTATTCTGTTCCTCTCTCTCTCTCTCCCTCACTCTTCTATTTTGTTTGCTAACCAAATAAATGCAGTTTGTTGTTTGTGTTGAGCCAAGCAGAACATTTCCATTTGAATGTTCTTTTAAGCGAAAACAATTTCTTCTTTGTTTTGCTTTTGAGAATGTCTCTTCACATCTTTCCTGCTGTCAGGTATCCACATCCAGTATTGGCCTTTGTGCCGGAGTGTTTAGCAAATTAGATCATGGATTTTCCCTTCTGATTTTCGGAAGGTTATCGCTTGGATGTCATTATCGGGTCCCGCCCACACACACACACCTGACTGCCCCCGGGGGTAATATTCGTATTCTTCCCCTTTTGTTGTGTACCTTTCTGATATTTTTTTTTTTGTTCTTTAAAGTATTTCGCTTGGATTTTATTTTACATTTTTTTATGCGGCAACTATAAAAAAGTTTTTACATTTTTTTACGGCACTTATTTCTGCTTTCTTTCTCTTTTTCTGCTGCGGGTAACAAAAGAAGTTTTCCGAGGGCGAGTGCATTATATTTTGGACTTACGGAGAGAAGTTGATTATGTTGATTTGTGGAATTGATTTGCCCCCGCAGAGGATGGAGTGCAGAATAGAGGAGCCCACAGAGAGGAGACCCAAGCACTCCACTCCGTCGTCAGGCACTCCTTTCTATCATAAAATATTCGTGGCATGTGGCAAAGAACATGTTAAGCGATTGTTCTTTCGGTTGTCAGTAGATGTAATGCTAATGCAATGGTTAGAGAGATAGAAAACTGTTGAGAAATGTTAAAAAAAAAGCATCTACTATTAAAAAAAAAAATCTGCAGACATTTTAATTGGAGATCTTCTGAGAAGTTAATTAGCGAGCTTACTTAAATGACATCGCTGGGAAAATTAAATTTTTTTAGACTATAAATGAGAGAAATATATTCCAAAAGCCGATTTTCAAGCCACAGACCTGAGAATCTGAAAACTATATAAAGAAACAGTGGAGCGCATTGGAATTTCGAATTTCCACAACGAATGGCAAATTCTAGTACAGATTTTACTAGAAATTTCGTTAAAAGAAAAGAAGGAATTTAAATATTTCAGATTTAATAACATTTTCCAAATAGTAACACTTTGTAGGAATTAAAAATATATCAGGGACATAGTACTAGAGAATTCAGTTCGAAGAAATTTCTGTGGCACCCCTGACAAAGATATTTGGGATATACAAAAATGTACTAAGAAATTTCGAAATTCATCACAAAGTTCGAACTGAAACGACATTCGAGGTTCCCCTCAATGTTCTTCGCTGCTTCCCCTCAATTTCGAATTTCGAACTGCGTAAGGGCGGAAAACGTACGCCCAAGCGAGTAAGGGGTGAAACAACGTAAGCCCACGGAAGCATGCACAGTGCACGTAAATGTAACATGCCACAAGTGTGACTGCAGCCGCGCTCTCTCCGTCTCAGCCTGATACGCTCCCTCTCACAGTCTGGCTTTCGCTCTCTGTCTAGGAAACGTTTACTGCACGTGACGGCAAGAAGCTAAGCATTACGGCACTGCACAGCGCTCTGCCAACAGGCAGCAGCACGTGAGAGAGAGCCACAGAGAGAGAGACAGACAGATAGAGAGAGAGAGGGAGAGCGGAGCGCGCTCTCGTGCGGCATTGGGTGGCATGTGGTTTGGGTGGTTGGAGTGGTTGGGGTGGCTGGCTAGAGACCTTGGCCGCTCTTCCCGGGTATAAATACGGGCGCACTGGCAGGCAGCGCCTCAGTCGAACGACAGAGCTCGACCTGTGAAAAACTTTCGAGGAAAAATCTCAAGCGGAAAAGCGCATCAAGTGAAACACCGTATCCTGTTTTTTGACGTAACCTTTGCCTACGAGTCCTGCCATGGCCATTCCCTTCTACGAGAACGAACACGCGTCGGCGGCGTCGGCGACCGCGCCTAGTGACATAACTGCCACTGCCACCGCTGGCGACCAAGTGGATGGACCGCCGCCTCTCGGTACGCCCGGATTCGACCAGGTGGACTACGACGGACCTCCGCCGGCGGCGGCTGCAGCGCCATCGTCAGCGGCAACAAGTGAACCGCCACCCAGCGCCGAGGAGCAACTGTTGGCCTGGAAAATGCTGGCCCTGACCATGTGCAAGGTCCTCAAGCAGTTCTGCCAGCAGCACAAGCAGACCAACGGGAAACCCAGCCAGATGACGGCCACCGTCCAGATTCAGCCACAGAGCCAGTAAGACCCACTAAGTCCCCCCTCCCCCCAAAAGCAGAATCAAAGCCCGGTACGACCCGTACCCGTAGCTCTGAAGCGGCTCCTAAAAGCGCAACTTGTGATTACTTTACTGTTGGAACACGTGAGAACTAGCCAAGCCCCCCCCAGCCCAGCCCACCCCAACCCTGGGACAGAAGGAGACGGGAGAGAGAAAGAGATTTAGGAGTGAAATGTGAATCAATTTCCCAAGGAAAAGAAACCCCAGAAAGTAATTTTTATACACGTATTTTCTTTGATGGAGAATTGATTTCGAAATTGTCGTCGCACTTTTTGGATAAGCGCAAATGTGATAAATAGTTTTGCTAAAAATATTTCCAGTCCCCCCCCTATTTGGTAAAATTATTTAAGTTTAGTTTTAATCCTAAGTTAAGTTCTCCCAGATGGTCCCGCGAGAACCCAAGATGATACCCGCAAATGATGATCTGGAAGCGGCAGCTAGTTTTCAGAGAGAAACCAACTTAGTGGATAAGCCAAAAAGAAACTCTTCGAATATGCAATTGCTATATATCCATCGTATATATAAGTCTCAATATCTGTGTGTGTAGGTACAACTTTTTTACAAACAACTCTCTTGGTGTCTATTTATGAGATACATATCCATATGTATGTGTATCTCAGAGTTTCAACTTCCTAGGTAGATTGCTTCTTCGACTTAGCAAATAGTTATGAAACCTATACAATATATGAATATATTTTTGATATTTTTATATTTGCTTTGCCATCGATAAGTTTACGCTGTGCGTTTGTGTCAATTTAGTTTCTAGTTTCCCCACTACTCATAAGCAATACTGTGGACTTCACTAAACACTAAGATCAACGGAGCAGAAGTAGGAGAAGGAGAAGTAAGGACGACAGACACACTTTCGTGTCAGGAGGAGCATACACATAGTACAAGTTCAAAAGTAGAAATATTTACAACATCCATAAAACAAACAACAAACTAACCACACAAAATAAATATTAGCTATTAAGAAATTTAAATCTAAGTTAAGTAAACCAAACAAAATAATAGTATGCATAAAGCAAATTACAATAAAATATGATATAAAATGTATTGGCTATTGAATTTATTTTGATTGGTGCGTCAGTACGTATTGGATTCCAGATTTTTTTGGAATGGCATTGGATCATCATAGAGCTCCATGGGCCACATGTCAGACTATGACCATCAGTTTTAGTCACAATCTTATTGTACTTTCGACTGTTCGGTTCGCTCGATAAAACATATGTAGAACAAAACAAAAGTTTCCAAAAATTTCTAAACAAGTTTATAATATGCTACCGTTTGCTGTGACTTGCAGTGATGCCGTGCTGGTATTAATTTACAATATCTTTTTATATTCGGTGGCTCCCATAATTATAATCAATCCAGAAAGTAAGTGCTACCAGAACCGAGGGAATTTTGTTCTGAAGCTCTCTACTCTTTCTACAGCTCCACAAGATAATCAGCGTATAAAATGGCAAAGTAAATTTCGGAGCACATGCCAGAGCATCTGGCAGAGCATAGTTGGTAACTGGTTGCCTACCAAGCAGCAGCCCACACTGCAAAAGCCTGTCGCTACATTCTTTGTATTGGAGGACATGTTTTGGTTTATAAACCTGGCCATAAACATACTGATAGTGGTCGCAGCAGTTGTCCATTACCTTTCGAAATACCATTCCAAAAATCGTCCCAATCTGCAGCAGCGCAAAAACAAATCGAAAAATCTAAAGCTAGTCATATTTTTATGGAAAGTCCTGACCTCAATCCTAGTGCTGTGGGTTTCATATAAATCCGTTTTCCTGTTTTGGGCATTCTGGCAAGGACAGCCGACCGTTGGTCTCGCCAAGTTCCAGATTTGCGTTCTGGGTATGTGCTGTGTTCACGTCCTACTTATTCGCAAGTCTCTGAAGCCGAGATGTGGTTTTCGCGAATTCAAGCCTTTGATCAAAGCGATGCCGTCGCAGTCGAGTTCATGGCACAGTTTTTTACGGTCGATTGATCGCTCCTAAAATGAGATTTATTATAAATTTTATCCGAATTAAATTAATTATTATTATTGATGAATTTGGAATCCTGGGTATCCTTTGTTCTTCACTTTGGAGAGCTGTGACAGTACAATCTAAGGTAAACTTTTGGAAGTTGGAAAAAGTGTAACCAGGTTCGGGCAATTTAAATGTCCTACGCATCCCAATTAGCTCGGGACCCCTTCTTTGCACAACTAATAACCATAATTTACTGGCACAATCGTTGAGAATGCTTTACCACCTCAAAGAGAGTATTATTTCTCTCAGCCAATCCCCACCATACCCCATACATTACTGTTGCCAGAGCCAGAATGAGATCAAAGCCGTTTTGCCAGACAAAGGACACTCGATAATTCCTCATATATCTCCCCCCTGCACAAACCCTCGGAAAACTTCATACAATTGATGCGGAAAAATGTCGCGTGGCGCCCCCGTAAAAAGGCCTTTGGGCAAAACGAACGAACGAAAAAAAACAAGACGGGAGACGACAGAAATCTTTCAACACGCGATTTTTTAATACGCTTTGTATAAAGGCAAATACGGTGAAAGGATGTGGATGCTAAGCTGCTTTTTTAATTTTCTAAAATCCAAATAGAAGGCATCGTCCATCGAAGCCATCAATCAATCCATAATAATATCAATCAGGGCTGGGCAAAGAACAAATAACATTTGGCCAAATCAACTCCTCCCCACCACTCCGTACCCTGAAGAAGATTTTATAATTTTTTTTTTTTTATTTTCCTTCCAGGCAGATAAGCAGAAAGTGAAGGATTTCGTGGGTTTTCAGTTTGGGAGTTGGAAAAATGCGCATTATGGGAGAGACGGCGGTTAACTGTCTGAATTCAATCAAATGTCCCCCCGGGAATTTGCACTTTTGTTTGCTTCCACTGCTGGCTTACACATCCACACATGATACCCATACAGCCAGCCATCCTTCAGCAACCCTTTCTCTCAGTACGGAGAAAGTAGAGAAAGCGCTGCTCGAGTGCATGTGTGTGCGTCCCGTCCGTCCAGTGGGTAGGGTGAAGTGGTTTTGGTAAGGTGACCCATAAACAAACAGATTTCTATTTTTTTTTGCGTATGCAACATGTGAGGAAAATCTTAGTGGGTGTGTGTGTGTAGGGTATGTAAGGGGTGTATGCAGCAAAGTGAGGCATACATCAAATGGTATCATTTCCAGAGCATCGTCTAGTCTAGTACACGAAGCCATATCCCTCCATCCTAACTACTTTCCTTAAGCAAACATTCGTATCATCCATACCAAACAATCATACATATATGTATGTATTTATGTACATAGATCTGTGGCTATTTGAGTGCCTTTAGAGGCATTTTTTAACTTAATTGAAAGTACACAAATTTACTAAGCAAATCAATTGGGTTTTTTTCTGTACTTTTTTGCAGTCCCTGTCTCGGGGGTACGTACGTACAGAATGTTTGCGCACTCAAAAACGAGATTATTAAAAATAAATTAGAGGTTTCTTTTTTCCCTAATACTACTCGTAGAAGTGGTCCGCCGTTGCTGATGCTGCTTCAGTTGGTTCTGGTTGGAACGTGCTCAAGTGCAGATTCATTTCAATTTGGATGGGCCAGAACCTGGTTCTGGTTTAGGGAGTTACTTTGAGTTGGATTTGTGGTCATCATTAGTGTGCTTTATTAAGTGGAAGCTCTGGCAGCGGATGCTTTAAGACCTAATCTCTCGTAATGCATCTGCTGGAGGCTTCGGCTCAAGGTCGTCTTTTGTGCAGAGTTTGCTTGCATATGTTGCATCTTTGAGCACGTACCCCCTCTCTGCAGTAGAGCCAGCATACGCTGAACTAGAAAAACACGAAGCACAGGCTAGAAGGAATAGGGATTTGCTTCCCTAGGGTTGGCTGAACACACACGCATCTGGTATCTGGGTCAAGGTGAAGAAGCGCACTCGGAGTGCACTCAAACTGGTTGCACGTATAAATCAAGGAGCTTGCACTGTTCAAAAAAAATAAAAAGACAAAGTTTAAGTGAATGTGTCAAATGTCTGTGGCAGTTGTGGCAGTTACAGGAATAGCTGCAAAAAGTAAACATAGCCCCCCATGTTAGATCACTGTCTCTTGGGATGGCACAAACCGATTGCAAAGATTTATCAATTCGGATCGAAAGGATATTTACACGAAATACCTAAAAGCAAAAACCATTCAATTGAATTTCATGCTCCAGCGGGGTGGATCCCATCCCTTGCCGCAGAGGAGGCGCTGCTTGCACTTCATCATTACAATTAAAGCAGATCAAAGCAGTTGCCGAGTGCGAGAGCAGAGAGCGGCATAAACAGGAGAAGGGAGACAGAAGGAGAGAGGGAGAGAACGCGGACAAAAGGCGCGAAAGACAAAAGGCGGCGACAGTCAAAAGGCAACAACAAGTTGGCAGCGCCAATGTCAAAGGTAATGACAGAAGCCAAACAATTGAAAAGTTGCAACAAACAGAGACAGAGACAGCCCCAGCCCACTGGTTGGGTGTGAGAAAGAGAGTGGAGAGAGAGAGAGAGTGTGGAGAAGCGGAAGGCAAAAACAAAGAGACTTCGTTAGCTTTGGCTACAAAATGCAGCAACAGAAAAATGTATAAAATAAACAGAAAAAAAATAATGGATATCTAGGCTTAAAAGCCGATGCTTTTAATACCCTTGCAGATCCAACGTGCTTTTGAGTGAATTATATATAAAATGGTATTCTGAGTTGGATTAGATTTCTTTCAAATTAGCTGGAATATTTTCTGGTTTAATGCGAAGCGCTTCTCACGAAGATTTTTCCTGCAAACTTTATCTACACAAACTCTTAGTTAGAATCTCTGCCTTCGGTCTATTGCCGACATATTTGCAATATCGTAATACACCCAGTGCAAGGGTATACAAAAATATGGCAAACAATTGTCAAAGCAAAAACGAAAAGCGAAAAATAACTTGGCAACAATTTTCGAGCAATATATTTTCCGCTGTTAAGCAGAACTTTTCACGCGTTTTTTGATGTTTTCCCTGTTTTCTGAAAAGTGCAAAAATAACAAGGAAAAATTGCGTAGAAATATTTAATGAGGCCAGAGTGCGAGTGTGCAAGTGGGAGAGCAAAAGAAAACCCAGCAAAAGAAAAAAAAAATCTAATTTAATAATCAAATAAAAAGCTGGTCAGAGGGCAGCAGAGCAGGGACAGGGCCAGGAGCAGGAGCAGCGCTGCCCCCAGGGAGTAAAAAGAGAGACCCAGAGAGCGGTAGAGTGGAGAGTCGGAGAGAGAGTTATGCAAATACAAGAGAGATAAGGGGAAAAAATGGTATTCGCATAACTTGAGCGATTTGACAAATTTACGAGTGAGTTTAGCGGACTAATCATTAGAGATCTTTATTCCACTCCCCCACAAAGAGCGCCACCCCCTGAGGCCAGCATCAACATGGAGTGCCTGGAGAGGTGGGTGCAGGCAGAGAGGATAGCTGCGTTGACAACGGACGTCGCTGCTGTGTGGCCTCCCCCGCTGACTCGCTGGCAGAGCTTTTTTTATGTCTTTTCTTTTGCTGAATACCCTTATTAAGAGAAGATCGGGAGTCATTAGGTTTATCTATAAAACATGTACGCGGCAGGGTTTTCAAACTGGAAGACTGTCGGCAATGGGCTAATAAATCCTATTCTACTTGGTTGATCTTCTTTGCAATCTTTGGCGGTCTTGTCTCGAAATTCTGCTATCTGAAAGAAATATATTTGTTGCACAACAAGTTCCTATAAGAATCAAGTTTAACCTGATGTTTATAATATTTAAATACTTGTAAGAGTATTTCGTATTCAGCTCTGTGCCAGCATAGACTTTTTCTCTTTATTGTCATAATTTTTTTTTTTTTGTTCGTTTTGCCTTGCGTAAAACCATACAGCAAAAAAGAAGGAGAAAGGAGAAAAAGAAAATCTCTTGCACATAATTTTAATGTTTATCGTCTTTTATTGTCAAACAAATTATTTTTGATATTTGTGCTGCAGGCGATTCCAGCTTCTGCCCACACCTCCACTCCACCCCTGTCCCTGTGTCAGGTGATGCTGTCTGGGAAATGATTCAGCTGCTGTTGGTGGGGGGAGGAGTTACGTACGTAACCAAGGAGATCCTGCAGCCACACACACACACACACAGACACACACGTCTGGTAATTTGATTAGCATGGGGGGAAAGGCAGAGAGATGCAGAGGGAGATAGATAGAGAGAGTGGGAAATGGGATGGCATAATAATCATAAAGAAAATCCAGAAACGACATCCTGATCTCTATCGGGGCCAAAGTCAAAACAATTTAATGCATGAATAAAAAATAATTTCTTTGCGAGGACATCCTGCTGCGGAGTTTTATTAGATTTTGGCCAAAGAGGAACTTCATATGTAAGTAGCCCCAAACCCCAATCCAATTCCTACTAATACTCCATCCAAGGCTCCCTTATCTCTCGCTGGATTTGTCTTCTTCCTTTCATGTGTCCTTCATCTCTCAATACATCCCCACACACACACACACATTGTCATGCATATTTGATTATTTATCCAGGAACATTAAAAGCAAAAATTGAACGAAAAAAATTACATCCACTGCCATTTTGCATATGAATTAAAACGCAATAAATTAGCAAAGAACTCTGTTTGAAGCCAATTGAACTTCAAGCCAAAGGATGAACCAATCGAACCAAAGAGAAGACGGAGAGGGGGGACTGCTACGGGCGGGCGGGCACACAGGAAGCTTTTGTTTGCTCTGCTAATGCTTCGACATCGTCTCGTTTGTCGCGAGATTAACTCAACGCCAAGAGCGAAGAGCAGCAGAAAAAAACAAGTATTAAGTACTGGCTAAATTAGACATTAAATCAAGGGAAATTCTAAGCCATATAAATTCTTTGGAGTCCTATTTTGAGGCCCTCGTTTAGCCAGTATTTAAAACCGTCAGCATAGCAGCCAGACAACGGAAAGCAATGGCATCAAAACCAAATGCAGACGCTTTTAATAAGCTGATTTGTTATTTATAATGTTTTCCTAATGATTTTCAAATTTTCCCTTCGAATTTTGTGGATTCGGCACAGAGTAAATTCTGTGGGAAATGGAATATTTAATAAGGAACGAAGATAAATTGCTAATATAAATTAATTTTTCATTTATGTTCCTCAAAATAGACATATAAATTGCAGCCCAAAATTTCAGTTATTTATAACCAAAAGAATATAATTGTAACAATCATAAAATCCATATAAAAACTTCCCTTGAATATGTTGTCAGTGAGTATTTTAATAATAAATTTAAAATAAATTTAAGCGAGCGATAGCAAAGCCAGTAGGTGATTGCCCCCCCCCCTGATTATGAGCCAACATAAATTAGTTAGTGCCACCGCAGTGGCGATAGCCTCGGCTGCCCCAAATCCGACTTAATACGCTTCACTTAATTGTTTACAGCATTAATGCAAAAACCTCAGCAAATCCAATAAACACTCCCACAACCCGGCCGTAGCGAGCCGAAACAGGCCGGAACCAGAGCAAAGCTTCGACCGCAGCCACAGCGAGAGGCTGACTGACTGGCAGCGGAGTGGAGTGGAGTGGACAGCCCATCAATATTACATCACAACATGGCATTGCATAATACGCACATACCGACCAAAATCGCGGCCCAGGACATGCCTCAATGATATCATTGTAGGAGTAGGATGAGTAGGAATTGAATGGGGTTGATGTTGCTGCTGCTGCTGCTGCTGATGATTCGGTAGCAAACATTAATCAGCGAATTATCAATGCAAATAATTTTCAACACGCCTGAATGCGATATCAATCAACGGACATCGCTTCCGCTGCAATAACCAGCGACGATGACACCAACAACAACATCAACAGCAGCAGGAGCAGGAGCAACAACACCAGGAGGAGGACATGTTGGCTATGTGCAACACATCCCAGTCTGGGGCACTTAACACACAATTAAGTGCAAATAATTGCAAACGCTGCATATAAATGATTTGTTTAAGCCAACATGACAGACACACACGAACGGCGCAGAGCAGAGCAGGGCCCCGGCCCGGCCCGTCCATGGCAATGGGATAAATCACCCTGCGGCATCTTCATTTTTGAGTGCTGGGGCAAGAAATTTGACAGTGGGACAGAGCCGAAGAAACTAAATTGGGTTACAGTAAAAGTTAAAAGATATTTAAATAGCTTCTTGATTGTCTTGATTCAGAAATTCGAATTTTGTATTTAATTAATTAATTTCTATGTAATTACTGGATCATATCTGGTGGTCACATGTCTGAACAAATATTAACCATATATGAATCTCTTTTTTTGTAGCCGGACATTTCAATTGATCCAAAAAAGCCATAAATCATTGTAGAATTTATTTAGAAGAATTAAAAAATTATGCTTAGCTTATTATTTATTATTATTTATTTTGCCAAGCATATAACCCTGGAGCCTACCACTGTACCAGCCAAAAAGGCTTTCTGCGGCAAGCGAGCGATAAGCGGATAATGAATTTTGAGTTTTGGCAGCGGAAGCATGCAGCTGACCAGAGGAGAAGTCGACAGTGGGGGAGTTGGGGAAGGGAAGCCTTGTAAGGTGTAGAATTCCCTCTCCCTAGCGACGGCTATTGGTGCGCTTAGGAGCGCCCCCCTCCACTCTCGATCCCCCACGCTGAAGCTATTGGTCCGCTTAATTAGTATAATCCGCGTTGAAATTACTCAAGTGTGCATTGTGCGCGGGAGGAGGAGGAGGAGCAGGAGGAGGAGATGCAACGCATGGCAACGCATGTGTGTATGAGCTTAAGTGGGAGGGAGGCAGCGCGGAGGCAGCAGCATCCTGATTATGATAAGATTGTATGGCATAGGTGCATAAATTTAATGACAGCAATTAAGTGAAGCGCCAAAGTTTTCGCAAGAAGTCTTATCAGAGGAGCAGCACAAACACACACGCACACACACACTCACTGATGGCCAAAAGTGCATTGCATAATTGAATACGTTTAAGCCAAGTTAATGCGCATTTCATTGGGCCACGCTTCGTCCATTGGAAGGGGGGCAACAGAGAGGGAGAGGAGCGAGCGAGGGGGGCATCGCGATCATTTGCATATGGAAAGAGGGGGACGGACATGCATGTAAGAGTCATTAAATATGCAAATTGCAAAATAAATACACCCAACAAGCGACAAAAAGAGAGACCGAGCGAAACGATATGAAATCCAAAGAAATAATTTTTAGCCGAAGCTTTTGCTACCCTGCCAGATCTATCTTTTCGATAACAGCAGATGAATGACCACAGCAGTAAAATTACAGATTTTGTGGCACTTGTTTTTGTTGGGTTTATCGTCAGTTCTATTTCCGCGGTTCATCATTAAATCTCAGCACAGATATCATAGACAAGGGAAAGTGATCCAAGAGTTCAGGTACAACTAATTCCTCTTCTCTTCCCTGTCAGTACCTTTGTTGCCTTGGCCATGCATATTTACTTTATTCAAGGGTATCAAACAGAATGAATATATAAAATTCGCTACCAATGCGACTTATGTATGTGACAGAGAGAGGGCGCAGAGGAGGGCACCGAATAAAAGAGAAATGTGTAAAGTGTGCATTTAAGCAGCAGTCGGAGCCGCAAGTGGGAGCATGCCATGTGCCTGCACTGCCTGCCGCCCACTGGGCACCTCCCGCCTTGCGGTCACTCTTCGAATGAATCACTGGCGCCGGCCAAAGACGCCGACGACGGCGACGTTCAGTCTCTGCTGCCAGACTCCCTCTCTATCCAGCGCACACACACACACACATACCCGGAAGCCGTAATGGAGTTTTCATTCAAATTATTTTCGGTCGGAAAATGCAAGCCAAGAAGCCAAGGAGGCACTAAATTGCCTGAATTGATGTTCTCTTTCCTGTTATGCTCTCTTCTCGGCACCGCTAAGTGTTGGTTGGCCTTCTCTTTCTACGCTTTTGGCCCACACACACACACACACATATTGGTCCCGTTATAAATCAGTGACGGAGGTGGAGCTGCATCCAAAATGAAATAAAAGGATATGAGCCAAGGACCCAAACATTTAAATCTGCTTAAAGAGAATTTGTGGCAGCTAACCGAAGTATTTTCTGCCCCTCTTCTGCTTTGTGCTTTCCAGTCTCTCATTTTCGCATCAAGCTGCTGGCCACATTTCATGGGTACAGTGAAACCCACATAAAATATACATATGCACATCCTTTGGGCACGGACTCTCCGAACAATGCAAATTTGTTCACATAAAAATTCTTTTCGCACTTTTTGCATCATTAATTGTGATATTTATGACTCGAACCTTCAAGCCAACAGCAAATCAGATTGGGGGGTGGGAGATCTGTGCGACATTTTCTATGTAAATTTGAGCGCCTTTTATGGAGACGTACGTGCTGGGGCGGGGAAGGTGGACAACAAACACATGCATATGCCACTGCGAAGGTGAGAGAAAAAGAGAGCGAAAGAGATTGGCTCGTGCCCTCGGGACGCTCTGGCTGCACTGAAAAAAATTCGAAATTTAAATTAACGAAAAAAAACGTTCTATGGAATTCCGATTTTATACATACTTTGATTGATTAGCTTTAATATTACATCCCGGAAATACATATGTACATATGTAGTACATACCATTCTGTATTATATATTTTTTGCAGTGTTCCCCGAGTGCGTTGTGTTTGTTGTTTCAATTTCGTATAAACATGTAAATAATTTCCAGCTGATTGCACAAATTCGTTGCGGGCTTGATTTTTATTATTGCATCCATTGTTCTCTTTCTCTCTCGCCTCTCTCTCTCTCTCTCTCTCTGTTTTTCCAGCATCTCTGGTGCCTCTCGTTCGCTCACTGCAAAAGAGAAGCAGCATGCATAACGAATTTTGAATTGCCGATTTCCCTTTTTTCCCTCTGGCGCGTTGTTCGCGCTTTTGTTTTCAATTTGCCATAAGTCTGTCAATTGGCGAATTAATAAACTGGAAAATTCAACACAAACGGGGACAGATTGGAAAAGTCATTTCAGGGCTCTCGCGAGTCTTACCCACATGCAAAAGCGTAGGAAATGCAAATTTCCCCCTATCGGAAGGATATACTCGTAAGTTGGGAATATCATTTCCTTTTGGCTTTGGATTGTGTTCGGTTAGGGGAAGTAGAACTCCTGAATATTTGCAAGTTTAAGTTAAGTTTTGCATACCGAAAATTCCTAAACTTACAAGGAAATATATTAATTTTCAGTCACATTATCCCGATAGCTTACCTCGCGTTGAATTAAGTTGATTTCAGAAACTGTTTACAGCGTTTATTCAGACCCCTTTCCAAAATGTTTAGCCAGTTAGTTCCACTCCGACCACAGACAATGGTTTTACAATGGTTTCCTACAAAGAAGAAAAAGATACGTGAGTTTAAAGTTCATGAACCTTAGAGCTTAACTTCCTGTTAATTTGATACAGTAAACATTTCTCTTCCATACCTCATTATGTAAATTTAGACAAAATTAGTCATCAGCCTATTACATTTTTACGATATCAGGTTGTAAAATAAAATTTAAAAAAACTGTCAGCGGGTTTTAGAAAATTAGGATTAAATTATGTAAATTTACAAACTTTACGACTGACGAAGTGCAGAAAATTTTTGCACAACATTTTTACGACTTTCCAATAGTCAAATTTTGCGACTTTGCCCTAATTAGCCATAGACTGGGGATACACAGGAAGAATAATCATAAAATTGTGGGCACGTGCAGGGTCGGGGCCAGAACAATTTTGCCAACATCTGTCCGTCGGGTTCAAGCCTACGTCATAAATGTCGAATGCCAGAAAAGTTCATAAATATATTTTTAAAGTTAAATGAAATGATTAGCGACGGTTGAGTGCCAAATTTTCGCATCTCTTCTCTCGTTTTGCTGCAGGCGCGATAAAAATGCAATAAAATTCGCGGCTGACAATAAAAAAAAAACGGAATTCACTTTGATTTTCACAGGGTTGACTGTATGTATGTAAATGGGCTGGGGTATGTACGGATGGGGTTGACAGGGAAAAAATGTTTCGGCAGGTTCGATGAATCGATTTATACAATGGAATTAATGTACGTAGTGTTTTATACACCAGTTTGTTTTTCTCTTTTATTAATTAGGCAGAAACAAAAGTTATGCACTCAAAATGTTTATGTACTAAGAAACAATGGCCTAGCGATGACACATTTCTTAGAGGTGGTGCACAGTAGACCGATAGTAAATTCGCATTTTATGCACCAAATAGAAACGCGGAATTGAAAAATAAAATAATACCTACATCAAAGAAAAGTGTAATTGACAGAATTGTTCCATAAAATGAATGGAGAATACAAAATATAGTTGGAACCAACTCTGTGTCCCGATTTGAATAAATTATTTCAGGCCTTTAAATTTCAGTGTGATACTCGTACAATTCCTACGCTACAAATCATGATTAATATATTGAATTTTAAATGGAACGTTGTAACCATAATTTTTTAGCTCTATATTTCCAATACATATATATATATGTTCATGTAATATTGCTGCATAGCTATAATTAACACTAAATAATTGAATGATAGGGTAAAAGAGGTCACATTTTGTTTACCCTAAAAAAAAATGGAATTGGCACAAGCCGACTATTGGTGGTTTGGGTACCTCCGTCAAAATTAAATTTTTGCTCAGTTGCAGTTGCAATTTCGATTGACCCGTCCCTAATCAACTAAGCCACTAACTAGTTGCTATTGAAACCCACTGGCACCGGATCCTGCATGATTTGAAATAATTTATGCATCGCTCTCCGAGTTAATCAAATTGCCGAGAGCAGGAAAAATTCCTTTGGACGCATGCGATGCCATGCAATGGCGCTCCCTGCCACAAAGTGCAATCAAATCAGGCTGCCGGTCTGCAGGCCAATCTAATTCAATTTTCAAAACAAATTCGTGTCATGCCCCGGACACAACGCAAATAGAATGTCACGCGCTTCAGAGCCAAAATTAAATTCCCCTCAGAGCCGAAGGAAGCAATGAAAAATACCCAAAAAAAGCACAGCACTCGAAAAACGAGACACATGTGGCTACAAACAAACAAAATACAAAATACTAGAACCGAAAAAAATGTCCAATTTTGTTGGTCAATTTTTGGTTTAGAGAACGGAAGTAGAGGAACAGGCGACCAGCAGCAGCAGGTGCCAAAACTGACGCCTCACTAAATTGTCGGACAAACACAGACACTCCACGGCAATGGGAAACGGTAACGGTATGAATCAAGCAAGAGTGCTATACGGTAGGGTGTAACACTACTTGATACCCTCTAATTGGAGCAAGCAATCAGTGTACGCGAAGCACTAAAGAAGGTAATACTTAATAATATTGCTAGACGGCCGCTTGGGCTTCTATAGCCCTTGCGAGCATAGCTTTTGATATTTAGGAAACTTCACAGAATAACGGACAGTGTGTCTGTTGATACTGTGAAACCCACTGTGAGTAGTTTCCTTCTTTTGCATTCGTCTACAAGACGCACAGCACACCCTTGGTTCCGAGGAGCACAGGGTATGCAACAACTAAAAGCAAAGCAAAAATGCTGAGCCCGCAGCAAAGTGAAACCAAACTGGACTCTGCCAGCAGTCGAACATTTGATGAATGTGTGGGTAAAGCTCCAGGCCACAGGTTGGTCAGCAGGTGGATGTGTTTGGGGTGCTGGGGGTTTTGGGGTATTGGGAGTGAGCCGCAACATGTTGCGGTTGCTTGGGGTATGGGAGAGCGAGCGCCACTCCGCTTATAAATCTCACACACAACAAAAGAGTAAAAAGAGCAAATGGAATGGCAGGCGGAGGACGGAATGCAACAATGAAATACGCAAAATATTGACAGGACACCGCAGGGAGAAAGAAAGAAAGAGAAAACAGAAGAATCGGAGGCAGGGAGAGGCACAGTTGAAGTAACGGAACCTCACACAAAATGCACTCGAAACATGCGACTGCCCGTTACAATTAAAACACAAAGAGCTGGAGAGTGTGAGACAGAGAGAGAGTGGGGTTGGGAGCCGGAGAATAGATGCGAGGCCCGCTACAACTCCAAAAAGTGTGGGGGAGATGGACACACACACTCTCTCTCTCTCTCTCCTTCTCTCTGTCTCTCGTGTAATGCACTGGACAACCTGGGATGCGTCATTTGGCAGCGCCATTGTGCACTGGACAGGCGGCACAGTCCAGTCATGGACAGAGTCAAGGACAGTGGGACAGTCATGGACAGTCCATAGACATTGGGACAGCAGCATCGTTGACGCTGACACAGCTGCCATTTTACTTGAATGCTTCGGCTGCCATGAATAAAGCATCTCTTGTATCCGTTTGCCCATGTGTGTATGTGTGTGTGTGTGTATGTTCGCTGTTATTAATCCGACATGATTGGCAGCAACGAAATGGACAACAAAAGTGGACACAGGTGGATGCGGCCCATCGTCCTGTCAGCGCCGCACGAATATCGAAAGAGACGCCGACAAATTTGTTAATTTATTATGCTGGAGCGACGCGGCGGCGGCGGCGACGGCGACGACGACATCGAGACTGAACTGACTCCCCTTCGACGTCATTTGGCACAACCATCCCACCCAACCCACACCACCCGAGCGGAGGGTTCCTCCTGAGTTTGGGGCTTGGGTTTGAGTTCGGTGTTCGCTGCTGTTCCATTCAGCTCATTTGGTTAGCTGCATGTCAAGTGGTTCCGACTAACGGCAAATCTCATTTCGAAACAAGAAGAACAAAACGAAATACATCCTAAAACGACTATTGGATGCTCTTAGAAGAATTTTGGCTGGAAATGCAGGATATAAAATTTGAGCGTTCCTTAATGTTTATCAATATGATCATCAATTCATGAAAGAACACCAAGGAGTCATTGAAACGCTTGATATTTGCTCAGTGATCGTTTACCAAGATATACTTGTCAGTCCTTTCACTTAATCAGTTACATAATCTGTAAATATCTCAGTCGAATTTCATCTAAAACTACTTATTCCCTTTATACTGTAGGAGTATGTTAGGAAGCTGCAACTTTGTTGCACAGATTACAGGTTTTGATGCTTGTGGTCCGAGTGTCCTTTTTAATAAAGCAGCAGCAGTAGAGACTCGCCAGGGCCACCTCACAGCCACCTCTTTTCGGTACTGTTCTGTTTTGTTCACTTGATCATACAAATTAAGCCCCTGCGTACTGTTCTGTTCCGTTCCCTTCTGTTTCTGTTTGTTTGTTTTCCCGGGTTTCCCGACACTACGTGGACGTGGACGGCGGCAGAGTCACGGCGATGGCCTGTGACTTAAAAGTGAAATATTGCAATCAGTCAATGGATTTTACCAATGTTATGCCCTCCTGTGAGTAGGCTTCGATTTTAATTAAGGAATTAGGCAGAGCACTGGGGAACACAGGAACACTGAAATGAGCAGGCGACACTGACGAAAAGCTCATTAGGGTGCATCTGGAATTCCAGGCGGGTGGGTTGATTGGGGATTGCGGATTACGCCAGGGATGGAGTGTACCCATAGTCAAAAGTGAAGGAAATTTTAAAGGGAACGATTTAAGGAGGAGACCATATCGTGGGGTATAAGAGCTTCCTTAGAAGTCAATTGCAATCAGAGGAAAAGTCAAATAACTTTAAGGAAATTCCCTTCGTTTTTCCTTCAGTGTTTCATCCCATGAAAGTTTAAAATTCAATACACTTTGTTCTTCTTGGCCAAGCATTAAGCCAAAACCACACAATTGACCAACAATACCTCGAATTAACTTTGATTAAACATTGGCCGAAAGGATCATCAATAGAGCACCTCAGGGACAGACCAGGTACAGAGAAGCACAAACAGTCAACCCCACACACAGACACACAGGTGGCCCCACAAACATTTGTACAAAATTTCCAACGTTTAATAATCGAACTGGGAAAGAGAAAGATATTCCGGGCGGGGAAGTGGACATGAGACAACGACAGCAACAGAAATTACACAAATGCTGAAAATGGGAGACTCAGTTGGAGAGGATGGTGATGAGAGACAGAAAGGGAGAGAGGAGAGAGAGAGAGAGAGAGCCACTCAAAAGGGAGTCCCCACATGAGGGCAAACTCTGAGGTGAGTTGTGGTGAGCGGAAGGGGAGTGGAGTCCGGGGTTGTCCGGTTGTGTGGTTGGCACACCCAAAGTGGCATTAGAGATTTATCAAGTGTAGCGTGACGTGGCATGGACTAAGTCACAGTCGCACAGGATGCAGGACTGGGAAGAGGCTCCCCACTCTATGCACAGAGTGTCCTCTCCATACACACACACATTGCATTACGTGTAGCGTAACAAATGTACAAAAACACGTAAACTCCACATGGGAGATGGGAGGAAGTGGAGGAAGGGCACTGCCAACTGCAGGCAAAAGTGGAAATGGAACCCGGACACTTTGACTATTAAGCAGCAGAGACACACACAGGAGCAGCAGGAATAGCACCAGCAGCAGCTTGAGAGTTGCCTCCATCGTCCTTTTATCCTTACTCTCCCTCACACTGTCCCTTTTAGCCTGTTCTTCTTCTACTTCTACTGCTACTTCTGCAGGAGGCTATTCGATGACAATCAATGGTTTTTGGTCTGATGCACAAAACTGGAGCCAGGAGTTCAGTCCGAGACTACTTCTGGCTGCTGCGACTTGCCGTACGTATGCATGAGCATGTGTGCCTGGGTCCTGGGTGGCTCCTTGTTGCTGCCACGCTTCATAAAGGATTCAAATTCGAGTGCATCAAGCTGAGCGAAGCAGAGTGGCCCGAGTGCCCGGTCTAATTCCAAATAAATGAAGTGTATGGCAAACAATGTGGTTGAGCTCGGACCTCGGAACTTGTACGGGGCGTGTAGGGGGGCGGCTATGGGGTTCCGTGCCTGGACAAACTTTATCGTTCTATCACAAGCCAACACCAACTGTGCCTCAGTATTTGTCCCTCATCTCTGTGTGCGGTTTTCCTTGCCACTCGTATCTTCCCAGCATAAATGCATTTCGTTTTTGGCTTTTTGTACTTTATCTTTCTGTTCTCTGTTATTTTTTTTTTCTTCTTCTGAAAAATTAATTAACTCTGGCCAATGCAGAATGCAGGCTCCCTCTGGGGCCTGTTACTTTCAATGTCCTTTGTGGCATCTCTTTTTGTG